GGGGGGGGGGGGGGGGGGGGGGGGATGTCTGTATTTATATTATTTTAAAAATACCAGTCAGACTTAAACCAGTGGTGAAGTGTGTCAAGTTATGAATGAGTTTCAGGTGATTTGAAACTAAAAATCTAAATAAAATGGTGAAGTATAAGGAAACCGGCTAGTATAAAACAAAAAAGTTACCGGTGCACACATCTGTTCAGTTAGAAGATAATAAAATGATTACCATAACACTAACAAATGTCATGACTACTGCAAATCAACAGATTTGGTGTCCCTTGTCAAATACACAGAATTTGATCAAACACATATCAAGAAAATAGAGATAGATCTTTATTAAGAAATGGAGTTGTTCCTAAAATGTCAATAAATAAATATAGGCAAGAATCTTGTTACACACGATGAATATGATAGTAAGACATGGTCCACACTCACACACAATTATTTACAAACTGAATAGACATTGTGATTATTTGACGAGTTGGAAACAAATGATTTCATTTTGAATGAATCATGTGAACCAAAGTAAGCAAAAATTGTTACCTGTCCTCCAAAGCCGTACATATTATTATGTGTCTGTGACGGATTCACTTTAGATAGGAGGAATCTTGCCTGAACAAAACAAGACAAAGTTAATATTTACAGTTAACATTTATGATGAACACTGAAATAATAACTAAAATAATAGATGTGTATTGTGTAATGAGATATATGTCATAAGCAGTTTGTCTGATTCAGGCACATCAGTTGCAATGATCAAGTTATGAACTGACTGTCTGCACTACAGTATGTCTCATCCAGGCACATCAGTTGCAATGATCAAGTTATGAACTGATTGTCTGTACTACAGTATTTCCTCAAAAATCTAATAGCCTCTCAAAACACTTTAGATTAATGTACCTGTAATGCCCCTGCCTCTGTCACTACTTTCTACTCATGTACCTTTGATGCCCCTGCCTCTGTCACTACTTTCTACTCATGTACCTGTGATGCCCCTGCCTCTGTCACTACTTTCTACTCATGTACCTGTGATGCCCCAGCCTCCGTCACTATGTATCTTGGCATAGGGAATCTGGTTTGCAAGATCTCCTGAGCATCATCTAAGGGTGCCTGTAACAGCTGCTTTAAGTTTTCATACTCTGGCATTTCTTGGTAACCCTGGGCCTTCCACTGAGCTATAGTCTAAAACAAGGGAAGATATCAATACATTAGTTTGGCTTTGACAACGTACATCTGTTTAACTGTTTGACAACTTTGGGGGCAAGACATTGCGAAATGCTGTTTGATGCTTCCTATTATTTTCTTTGGTAATTTCTTTCATTTAGAAATGTTCAACAACAGGTAACTTTGGAGACAGCTAACAGTGATTGAACATTTCACTTTGCTATTGGAAATTCAAGTGAAGAAATGGTCAGGCCTATAATACTGTCTGCCTCTCTACCCTCAGCAATGGGTGAAAGAGCCAGAG